AGAAAGCTGCGTCTTTACCTATATTACCTATAACTTTACCTATAACTATTGTGACATTTTCATGCTTGACGAATCGCAATTCACTGTTTTTCATAAAGTATTGTCATACTTATTTCGTTTCGGCAGTCCATCGAGGCGACTTTATTGGTTTTAATTTGACAAATAAATATTTTAGTTTATTTCTCATTTGTGAGTAATCATGGCACATCTTTCAGAAAGAGATAGAGTATGTATTTTAATGATGAGAGGATGGGGTGATCGACAAAGATCGTATGATCAAGTGAAGACACTCTTCAATAATACTTTTCGTAATGAAGGTAACGGTATTTCTAAATCAACGGTTGAACGTACAATTAGGCGTTTCGAGGAAACTGGAACAAATAAAAATCGCGAAAAATCTGGAAGACCAAAAACGGAAACCGCAGAAGAGATGGCATTCGAAGTTGCACAAGCTTTCGTAGAGAATCCAAGACTCTCTGTGAGTAGAGCATCGCAGGAACTTGAAATTAGCGCAACCTCTGTTCGCAGGAATTTAAAATTTATCAAGTTTCATCCTTATAAAATTCACCTTATTCAAGAATTAAATGAAGATGATTACGATCGCCGTAATGAATTTTGTGACATGATGATGACACGGATAGACCAACAACCTGATTTCTTGTTCCATATCGTTTTTTCAGATGAAGCAACCTTTACAGTCAACGGCGAAGTGAACCGTCAAAATTGTCGTTTTTGGACCGATGATAACCCTCATTGGGCTCTTGACGCCCACACGCAAAATCCTCAGAAACTGAACGTGTGGGCCGGGATTTATAATAATACTTTAATTGGGCCGTTTTTCATAGATGGCAATTTGAATGCCGTTGTCTATGAAGAAATGCTAAGAAATCAAATAATACCATCTATAACTGACACAGCCGGTGACGATTTCTATAATGTGGTTTCAACAGGATGGGGCCCCACCGCATTACGGTGTAGCAGTACGCAACTATCTAAATGAGATATTTCCAAATCGATGGATTGGTAGAAGAGGAGCTATTGAGTGGCCACCAAGGTCACCCGATTTAGCGCCGCCCGATTATTTCCTTTGGGGCTATCTAAAAAGTAAAGTTTATTACACAAAACCCGATAACCTGGAAGATCTTCGACAAAGGATTGTGCGAGAAGCGGCACTTATTCCTCCGAATATTATTAGAAAAGCTGTGGAGAATTTCTACACACGTTTAGGATATTGCCAAACAGTAAACGGATACCAGTTTGAGCATACATTATGAATATCCTCACACACACACACACACACACACACACACACACACACACACACACACACACACACACACACACACACACACACACACACACACACATCAGAGTGAGTTTAGAGTCACAAAATACTGCGAGAGTGACGAACCGCGGGGTCTTAATCTCTGTTGGCACACACACACATGCAGAAACTAGAAGTATTCGGTTATAGTCGCGAGGCTATTAAGCCGCCCCTGTGTCACGTGATGATCGAGGGTCGTTTTAGGCGGCGTTGCCGGGTCTAGAAGTCAGTCACGACGCGAGCTTGATAAAAAGACGTTGTAACAGACACTCGATCCTTGCAGTTTATATACTCGTAAAATATATATATTCATATAACCATTTTCCGTTAGTTTATCATTCAGATGCTTGATCCTGCCACTCCTACCTCACACCGTTCGGAGAACATCTTACAAATGCTTCAGATGTTTGGAACTAAGCCACGTGAGGGCCGAATGCAGGAACCCTGTGGACCGAAGCGATATATGCTACCGCTGTGGAGGGAGCAGTCTCGCCGCGAGAGGGTGCTCAGCTCTAGTAAGATGTGCGGTATGCGCAGAAGCGGGTCGTCCTGCAAATCACTGGATGGGCGGCGAAGTCTGCCTCCCCCCCGTCTCGAAAAAAACACGCCAATCCCATGGCTGATACGGGAATTACCGCTGTGCTCAATAGACGCCCAGCGAAAGAAGATGAGCCAAGAGCGGTTGAGGCGATGGAGGTCGTCACCGAGGAGACGGTATCTGTCAAGGAGACCCCGCCCCCGCGCAGGGAAACTGGTGTCTGTACTAGGAACAAACTGCAACCAAGGAAGGATTCGTGCGTAGCAGAAGCTGAATCGGTCACGCCAGATCATATAGATTATGTGGAAGAGGCACCTGGCTCAGCGCGAGGGGGTTTGTCCTGGGCGTCCCCCGGGTCCGACCACCACGGGTGGGGTCCACTTGTTGAGACAACAATGGGAAATACTTTGACAGCAAATGCATCGGACGTGGCCACTCTGGAACCATCGTGCGCCGCAGACGGGTATACAACGTCAGCGGGGGATGACTTACCAGAGGCATATATCCGGGATAATGTACAATAAGCTGCTGCAATGCAATATCAACCACACTCGCTCTGCCCAGGACCTTCTTCTACAGATGATGGCGGAGCGGGATATGGGGATAGCAGTGGTTGCGGAGCCCTACCGCATACCGAATGGACATCCTCACTGGGCAGGAAGCAGGAACGGGACAGTTGCAATCACATGGAGACAAACGACTACTCCTCTAGCCTGCACGCCGATGGAGGATGGGGAGACTATACTTATTGGTGTATATCTGTCCCCCAACATCGACCTAGCTCAGTTCGATCAGGGTCTCGACGAGCTGGAGGGACACGTCAGGCGATATATGGGGAGACCGCTTATAGTTGCTGGCGATTTTAATGCCAAGACGGCGTTATGGGGCTCCCCGATAACGAACACCCGCGGTAGGATGCTCGAGAAGAGGGCAGTGACGATGGGGCTGTGCTGCCTGAATAGAGGCAATACTAGCACCTGTGTGAGGTCTACAGAGGAGTCAATCGTGGACATCATGTTCGCGAATTCCCTGACTGTGAAGAGGGTCTCTGACTGGAGGGTCCTCCCATTGGAAACAATGGCGGACCATCTTTATATAGAGGCCACGCTCGGAGAAACGAATATCCAGAATCGCAAAAGAGGCTTTCCGTACCCCCAAAGGTGGGTCACGGCAAGAATCGATGAGGATCAGATGGTTGCCGCTATCCTGGTGGGCACGTGGGTGCCACTCCCCCCGAAGGAGGAATGGAATGTCGAGTCAGAGACAAGGACAGCCCAGAATCTGATGGTGCAGGCGTGCGATGTGGCTATGCCTAGAGCTGCGCCACGACCCAGACGGATAGTACACTGGTGGTCTCAGAGTATCGCTGAGCTACGGGATTGCGCTATGCGGGCCAGGAGAATGCTCAAGAGGGCACGTCAAGCGCAGCCTCCGGAAAAAATAGAAGAAAAAGTGATGACTCTGAGAGCCTCTAGAAAGGCCCTTAGTCGAGCAATTAGTGCTGCCAAAGAGAAGGCTTGGGCAGATCTGGCCCTCACTCTGAACGAGGACCCATGGGAGCGCCCATATAAAATTGTCTTGGATAAACTAAGACAATGGGCCCCCCCACTGACAGAGGCGATGGAGCAACTCTTCCTCCAGGGGATCCTGGGAGCGCTTTCTCCTCCCCCACCCCCTTGCGATGATATGTGGACGGAGCCCTCCCTCCCCCTGGGGGAATGGAGCTCGTGGTCGCCGGATTATGAAGTGTCCGCGGAGGAACTTTTGCGTGCTACCAAACGCATGTTGGTGAGGGCGGCAGCCCCAGGCCCCAGCGGGGTTCACGCCAAATCGTGGACGGTCGCATTGAGAACCACCCTTGGTCAGAATGCGGAGCCTCTTCACGGAATGTTTGAGAAGAGGAATATTCCCGTCTGTGTGGAAGCGCGCCAGGTTGGTGCTTCTACGTAAACCTGGAAGACCTGTGGATAGTCCGTCTGGCTATAGGCCCATATATCATTTAGACGACGAGGCCAAACTATTGGAGCGCATCATCGCGGACAGGGTGACCCGGCATCTGGAGTTCCCGGGTATACCGTTACATGCCAACCAATATGGTTTTCACAGGGGCAGAAGCACAACGGATGCCCTGTTACACGTAAGGCGATTTACGAAAGCGGCGACCCAAGAGGGACAGGTAGTGATTGGTATCTCTCTTGACATCAAAAATGCCTTTAACATAATCCCCTGGGACCAAATATGGAGGGCCCTCCTTTATCATCGCGTTCCTTTGTATCTGCGTAGGATCTTGAGTTCATACCTACAGGAGAGGGGGGCCTGTTGTACCCAGAGGAGGATGGTACTACCGTCGAGAGACCGATGAAGCGAGGAATCCCCCAAGGTTCCGTACTAGGACCAATCCTTTGGAATATAGGATATGACCAAGTCCTATATAAGGCAGATCATCTCCCCGACTGCGAGATCGTGTGCTATGCGAACGACATTCTCGTACTCGCAGTCGGGGAGGACTGGGAGGAGGCCACGCTATGCGCGGAGGCAGCGCTGCACGGTGTTCTTCACCGTGATGGAGCAAATAGGCCTGGAGGTGGCCCCGCAAAAAACGGAGACTATTGATTTCTTTGACAGGGACAGGCCTCCCAGTACGGTGGTGAGAGTGGCTGGATTCCCGGTACCGGTCAGAACTGAAATTAAATATCTCGCCTTGACGCTGGATAGCAGATGGAGGTTTGAGGCACACTTTCGCGTGGTGATGCCAAAGATGGAGAGGATGGGTTTCGCCTTAAGTGGATTGCTCCCTAATTTGGGAGGTCCCAACAGCAGAGTAAGAAGACTCTATGCAACCGCGGTGAATTCGGTGGCACTCTATAGAACACCGGTATGGGCAGAAGAGACGAAGTCAAGTCGCAGAATCTAAAGTTTCATGCGGGCCTCGCAACGTCGCATGGCATGTAGAACGATACGTGGATATCATTCGCGGCGGCCACCGCGCTAGCGGGAACACCTCCGCTGGAGCTTGTTGAGGTGATGCACGCTGACGTGCACGAACAGGTCACAAAGATAAAACGAGGAGACATCCTTTCTGTCCCGCCTGCCAGAATGACCGCGATCAGAACGGAAGCCCGACGTGGCTTGTTACTTAGCTGGCTTGGAAGATGCACGGCCGGTGGAGAAGTGGTGAAAGCCATCCGATCTTGCCTCCGGGAATGGATCGAAGCTAGGGTCGGGAACACCTTCTACACAACCCGGCTGTTGACTGGATATGGCTGTTTTGGTCAGTATTTGAAACGCATCGGGAAGGAAGTCTCGGAGCGGTGCTGGCAGTGCAGGGTAATGGCCGACATTGCCGGGCACACTCTTCGGTACTGCACGGAATTCACCGACCAGAGGGAGATGTTGTCCTCGGTGATCGGTCGGAATCTCTCAATGCCTGCCATCATGCGAGCAATGATGAGAAGGGAGACTCGGGATGCGGTCGTTAAATTTTGCGAGAGCGTCATACGCCGTAAGGAATGAGATGAGCGTGCAAGGGAGGGAGTGCCGGACCTACCGGTAGTAGCCCCCGGTCGCACATAGGAGAGGATCCGGCGAGATGGGGACCTTCTGCTCACTGACGTGATTTATATCATAAGTTAGGTTAAGATAGGACAAGTCTTGTTACTTGCCTTAGCGTAGGCACTTAGAAAGGGGGAGTGGGGGCGTGCTCATTTTGGGCTCTTCTCCTCTCCCCCATGCGTTTCACTGCGCCGGCACTAATGATATACGGCAATGTCCCTTCGAGTTGCGTGACGCGTAATTAGATTGTGAGTGGCCGAGAGCTGCGGGATCGCCCGCAGGACGCTCCGCATACGGAAGCCTTCCTGCCGGGTGTCTCCGTAGTTTTCGGTTCGCCCGCTGAGCCGTGAAGTGCCATACGTGTGACCTGACACCTTGCAACGGCACAACGGGATAGGCGGAGGGTAGAGGCGGCGTCCCTACCCGCTGCAACACTGAGAGGACGACGCATCAGAGCGTCTTGGCGTTGGGTCGGGCCGGTAGTACTGCAGCCGCGAAGATCCCACGTAACTATCGTCCTAGGGAGGACGCCCGCAGTGGTTTTAGTAGGTAGGTCTCCGTCGGCACTATACCGGCGGAGGAGTCCCATATAACCTATCCCTTTCCCCGGGGGGTTAGGTATCCATGAGGATTTCCACTGCGATAAAAAAAAGGCTAAGTTAGTAAGTAAGAATTTGTAAGTGGCGGTATATGAGTATATAAAAATTGTAACCCCGAGGGGATCAATAAAGATATATCTATCTATCTATCTATGTAAAATGACAATTTGAGCCGAACTGCAGTTATAAATGTGCGAATTTATTTTATTGGAGGTTCATATAAATTCATCAATATAAACGTTCCGATCCTCAGTTTTGGAAACCCTTCAGTATATAAATTCATAATAAAATGTGTTACAGTTCACTGTACAATTTCAATAGTATGGTCAATTTCTCGCACATCTGATTTCATGATCAATTACATAAAACAATAATTGCAATAACGGGCTACAAACATTCTTTTTTTCCCAAAAAGTTAATTATACTTGTAAGGGAATCTCGCGAGGTGTCAAATTCTGATTTTAATGAAACTTTGTGTACTTGTAGCTTACATAAAGAGATGAATTTAGAAAATATCAATTGCGGCCAAAAAACGGTTTGAGGGGTGAAATCACCCCTTATGTGTTAAGCGGAATTCAGCTTTTTCCGTTATATCTCGAAAACTCTCTATTAGAGATATAAAAAAATATTTTATACAAAAGTTTTACAACAAAATTAGCTGTATTCATTTGTGCATTAATAATAATTTTATAAAACAATTATATTTCAAAATTTTCAAAAAAAATTTTTAATAAGTATTCTAAAAATATATCATTGACGTGAATAAATAAGGGTGATCCCGATTGATCACGGCTCGATTGGACACCACCAATCACAGCGACCAGGTGCCCCCCTCCGCGGAGTGCCACCTTGTCGCGGTGAGGGGGCTCCTCCCGGGCGATGTTGCTCCCTTCACGG